GTGCTTACAGAATTTGTAAACGTAAAAATAGGCAACGTGTTTTCAGACTTTTTTCCAGTTAATCTTGATAGGATTATTTATCAAAGTTCCAATGTAAAAGCTTATTTACATTTTAATACCATTAGTTACTCATCTGTATTTTTAAAATTTAATTTTGAAAGTTTTGAAATATCTTCTGTCTTCTCGCTAAGAGTTAGCTGAATATATATTTCTAGTCTTGTGGATTCTTTGACCTGGAAACATACCAGTGAACTTAAACCAAAATAACTTCTTCCACTTTGGGAAGTTATCAGCATCGCCCTAAGAAAAACACCCAAAAGAAAATAAACTAATATCTGAAAAAAGAACAACATTGGCAGGGAGCTTTTTTCAGGCTTCTAACACAATTGATAGAAGGTAAAAGATTATGTTAGTATGCTACCAATAAAAAGAAATTTCCAGTATTCAGAAAGAGAAGATGGAAATACCTTACCTGAAGATTTAACACAAGGAATAATGTTTAAATAGTTAAACATTTGGTAGTACAAAGAATCGATCGTCTGCCTGTCATTAAAAAAGAGTAAATTACACTTTCCATACCTACCTGTTCATAGAATTCATTAACAATGCCTTCTGTCCATTTGAGATGCAACTCTCTAACTTTTGCTGGGCCATTAATATCTGCCAGTTTGATGCATATTTGACAGGCCAGTAGGCGATCATTTTCATTGCTCCATTCTATACCATGACTGTTGATATCATTGACCTGGGTTGAGCACATACATTTTTTAAAAATTAAGTTAAAACTATTCATCAATGGGGTTTTTTTTCAGGCCTTGCACAGCAGACACTTGCATTAATTTTTCTATATAATTTTTTTTCCTATATAGTAAAAAATAAAGTCATTTACTATCTCTCAGAAGATGAAATGTGAGATATGATTGACATCTCCTGTGGGTCCCTACGTAACATCTGCTAGGCTTATTAGGCAATCTACAAAACAACCTACAGTTGCTTTGTACAAAAGGAATACTCTATTTGCATTTTTAAGTAACTTAAATTTAAATAATATAAAACTTTAAATACAAGTTATTAATACTAAAAACTACTGAGTAGCAACACTAACATCATAATATAATGACTAGCTCAGTGCAGACACTAAAATGCAACAAACCTTGGCATTAAATTCTGCAAGGAAATCAAAATGCTTCTTGAGATCTGTGGCAAGGATTGCTTCAATCACTAAGAAACGAAAACGCTTGAATTCTACATGATCAAGATTTGATAAAAAGTTGTATTCTGGTCGTGATAAGAAAAGATTCCAGGCAGAAGCAGCATGGTGATTTTCTAAGACTGATCTGTCATTGTAGAGAACAGCCTAAAAAAAAAAAAAATCAGAAGTGACAGAGTAAAGATTTAAAATCATAGTTAAATATTCTGAAGCTTAAAGGCTTAAACTCTTGGAAATGATGTTTTGCTTTCTAGTTTTGAGGGTTAAAGTAATGGCAGATGAGAATAAAACCCCAAACAATTAGCAAAGTTTTCTTCTTTCCTTAAAAGTCCTTAACGATGTCTTAGTGACATCTACATTCACACTGTAGGCACACATACACAAACCACTTAAAATGTAGACTTTGCACTCTTGGCAGCATGTGTGGAGCACACACACTGACATTAAAAAAAACAACCAAACAAAAAAACCCAAACCAAAACCCAGATTAAAGTATATGCTTTTAATTCCTCTTAATTTCAATATTATGTTAAAAAAAAAAAAAAAAAAAACCACAAAAAAAACCCCCACATGAAAAGAACTCCAAAGCATATAAGAACTGTGGTTAATGTGAAATGGTGTGGAGAATCACTAGTTTTCAGTGTGCTACATTTAATGCCAATGAATACATTTTAACTGCAAATGAGTTAACTAAAATATTCAAACAGTAGTAGATTTTACTCACAACTCCTGTGTTTATACAAAACATCCTAGAAAATAATTAATTGAATATAGATTAAATAGGACCTGAAATAATTATTTGGAAAACTGCAAAAACAATCTTTATGCTTTGAGGAAAGAAAGAGATCATTAACAAAATGAATGTGTATATTCTTGAAAATTGGAGATGAATGTCTGTGGTGTTTGTTTTTATTCTTCCTTGTATACTGTTTTCAGCAGAAATATATAACTGCTTACATCCTAAAATTTATTTTGCAATAAATATTGTTGAAAACTGACTGGAAAATTCCCTTTTAAAGTCTCCATCTCCTGATAAGTTGTATTGGTTTCTGATTTACTGTTATTATTGTTAATGATGATGTTGTTATTATTTAAGCTTCCTGTCTCTAACTTAAGAGATTCAAACAGCCATCACAAATATTCTTCCCCAGATAATATTCCACTCTTCAGATAAAAATATTTCACCATGCAGTTTAGGCATCTTTTCTTCAGTGCTTTTCCTTCCAACTCTTCCCTGCCCCACCTTTTTTTTTTTTCTTCCCTGTCTGCTATTTTGTTTAGCTTTACTCTTCTTTACCTCTTTTGCCTTAGCCTTTTAGACCCTGAAGAGCATAGCATATCCCTTCTTTCTACTCTCTGTTCTAACAGTCGAATATAGCGATAAAACTATTGCTAACTAATAGTTAGTCCAAAACTATTGGACTATTAGAGGAACTTGTGGTTTTAGGGTAATTGCAGACACCACTATGATTTCCAAAATGTAAGATATCCATGAATTAGCTGCTTAGACAGTCCTAGGATCAGCTCTCTATGAAATAATCTTTTACTCTAACCTGTACCAATTTATGTTATTATTTTCAATTTGTAAATTGAAAATTATTTTTGCACATATACACAACCAATACGTACAAAACACATCAGAATTTATCAGGAAAGTAAAAAAGTATTACACAAGTTAAGTACAACTTAATTTCCCCATTTCTTAAATTAGGCAAATGATCCCAAACAGATTACAGTAGGGATATAGAAGAGCAAAGTTTTCGTTACTCTGATTTCAGACACAGACGAATAATTTTCTGGTTAAAGAATTTCTTACCTGAGGTGCATTCGTAGCCACTAGAAAAGCATTTGTTCGACCAGGATGATCATAATCATGCATGGCAGCTGCTACATATAAAGCCATCAATTCCAAAGCAGGGATGTTTGATGCCAGAGAACCATAACTGTCATCAGCAATAGAACAACTTTTTGAAGAAATATAGCTGACTTGAACAGGGGAAATACCACCGGCTTCTTCTAAGAAAATTTAAAATACAAAAATAAAATATTTTTAGAACTATATTTCATTCATATTTTAATATATTTTAAATGACTCAGCCAGACACTATTGTGAACATAATCTTAATATAGTTATCCTTGTAACTGTGGAGCTGAATAATTGGCAAAGAAAGACTTTTACCTTTTTTTTTTTTTTTAAAAAAAAAAAAGTCATACTATTGTTTATAGATGAAGCAGCAATTTTAAAGAAAAGTTGAAATGCCAGTAAGTTGTAAATCTGTCATGGCCACACACGTTGTCCAAAAGGATAGATGCAGTCTTACAAATACATAAAAAGCTTCAGCTGTCTCACGGCATTGCACAAGGAGGGCAAAATCCTACAGGACACTGTGGAGCCTGTAAGTGGTGTTCACAACTAGAAACTGGAATGTTCCTGTTCTAAACCCAATACTTTACCTGGCACTACATACAGATATACCTCGGGATCCATTTTTTCAGACAAGATTTCCTGTTAGAATGCTGAGGGATAACTGTCATTCACACAAATAAAGGACACTTTCAGAAGAACTTCGTACAGGCACAATCAGAAAAAGAAATATATTTAATTCACCAGTCAAGCTCACTCTTGCCATGCAACTGTAGAAAAAGAAACGTAGACTTTACACTTCTGGCAATATGTGTGGGGCACTTATCCACACTTACTTCCCTCATCAGAAGATGAGAGGAAGGAAGAAAAGGTTTGCCTTGGTCCTTGAAACTGTATGGTGCCTCAGAAGACATAAAACAGAGGAAGTCACTCTGCAGCTACAGTTCACTCATGCTGCAGAAAGCTGGTTCAGAGGAATGTTTCAGCAAGCACAGAAGGCAATCTAGTGGAACAAGGGACACTGGCCATCTAGGCTATGTCTCGATTGCAGTAGAGTTGTCATTTAGATTAGAAAGCAACTATAACAATCTAAGCTTTTAATTATTAAAATGCACTTGTAGGTATTTGTTTCACAGGAGAGAATGAAGAGAAAGAGAAAAACTAGCAAAAATGTACATCTGAGTCCAAACTACAGATCTTCGAAAATCCACATGGATACCAATGGTTACACATCACCGTCGAGGTCTCTCTCACTTCTTTGCCTTCCCCTTGCTGTCATGCTGCTAAAGAGCTCCTGCTGTTATGCAGTCCTAGAATTTCATTCCCTTCTTAAAATGACAGCACTAAGAGCATTCTACAGTTTTTCTCCAACTTCAATAAGGCCAGGAAAGGCTCAATCAGCATCTCCCTCAGTATTTCTACAATTTGCCCCTTTCTTGAACTTGCAGACCTATAGGAAAAGCTTGGCTGACAGTGGAAACTACTGCAAAAAGGAACTAAACCCATTAGGTTAGAAATGTTTGCACGATAAGGAGATTCAGTTTTACTCTCCTCTTTTCCCTGGACAAAGTCACTACTTAAAAAAAACCAAAAACCAAAAACCCAATACTAATTTCATCACTGCATAATAAAAAGGTGCTCTTTTGTGTTAAAAGAATAAGGGAGGATTAAAAATCCTAGTAACATTTATACTGGAAGAGTTCCAAAGCAATAAGACTATAACTTCTTATTTTAATTTTACTTTTTTGTAAAGGGAAACAAAAGTATTTTTATAATTTTGATTTCCTTCAGTCCCAACTCTTTTAACAGTTAGAGAAAGAAAATGCAATAGGGTGCAATCAGTGGATATGGACAAATTTGGGAAAAAAGAGAAAGGTGACAGCAGAGGGGCTACTTAGTAAGGAAGAAATAACGTATCTGTAGGATGTTCTTTACAGTTCACCAATTACTTCTTAAAATTACAGCCCTTTAAAAGCCACATGACTTGCATCTTGCCTTTTTTCTGCATATATAAAACAGTTCTTAGTGCTTGATTTCTCCATTTTATTTTTCTTAAATACATACATTTTAGTATAAAAGTGTATATTTAGAATAATTATACTTTACTTACAGTATATATTTTAGTAAAAACTACAAATCTAAATTTAAAAGTTAATTCTATGAAGTCACTGACAATGCAAAAGCAACATTAGAACTAAAGTCATACAAAATTTGAATTATTTATTTCTCTTTCAAGGGTGCTCTAATGCAGTTATTGGAAGGGTAGTCACTTCAATGCCTGAATGTGTGCATGCGATATCTAACATAGAATTCTGAAATACTCATTTTTACACTAAAACTATTAAGGAGAACTTCAATTAAGTTAAATACTTTGACTTTAGTATTTTTTTCTTTGGTCTATTTAATTCCCCAATAAAGTTAAGAAATATTAGACTAATGTATTTCAAACGCTAAAAATATGCTGACTGTAGCAGTATACAGAGGTTTAATTCAGCATAGAAAATTTATTAAGTGATTCTGTGTTCTTGGCTAACAAATTAACCACTACTCATCTAATAATTTTTCTAAAAATCTACTGCATCATATTTCTGAATGGTGTGTACTATCATTGTGATATTTCTACTGCCTTATATTAAACTACAAAAACATATTTGAGTGATAAGGATAATTAGATATTTTCTTCCAGAGTAATTCGGTTTATCTATTGTAGTTTCAGTAAAACATTCTTACAGCAAAAGAAAAAAAGTAACCTGTGCAGATACATACCCATATCACTTTCCATTATATGCTCATTATGAATTTGCTGAAATCCAGGAATAGGCCGTGTTGTCAGATACCATACTGCATGGAGAACATCTGTGGCATGTATACGATTGTGATCTGAAAATTATCAAAATATAATCAAAAATATTATCTAAAATATAATCAAAAGTAACAAAAAGGAAAAAAAAAAAGAAACGTAATGTACCAAATTTACTGTAAGGGAGATTTTGATTAAATAAAGGAAAAATTGAATTTCTTTAAGAAACAAGTTAGATAAACATCAAATCTCCTCTAAGCATACTTCATCCTACCTGACAGTCAGGAAGGGATTAAGTGGCCTTTTCAATCAGTGATGGTGAGCCACTAGCACTGCTGATATCTACAAGCACCTGAGTTGGTGCAAACATCTGTGACAGGGGGTGTGTGGGGAGTATTTTTTGTTTTGCTTTCTTTTCTAGTAAATTTGGCTGCCCCAAACAGAAAGATGAATAATTACTGTCAAAATTCTATATTTTCTTATTATTCTATTACGGGCCTAAACCAAATTTCTGTTAAATCAACAAATATCCTCCCATTGGCTTCAGTATGTTTGATTCAACTACTTATTCAAATTCTTTAAGATTATATTCAACTGACATATTAACAAATTCATTTCTGGAGTCCACCTTTTTTTTTTTTTGCTGCAATTCATTAAATCAGTTCTAAATTCTGACAAACATATTAATAAAAATATACTATGTTCAGACATTGTCTACCTCTGTATTAAACATTAAAGCAATACACAGACTAAAGGAGATACATTTTTCTTTAAATTAGTGTATGTAATTAGATAGTACTTACAGGGAATATCTCGGTAGCCATTTTCTAGTGCACAGAAGTAATTCATGAATTCTTGAGTTGGGATTTTGAAAATTTCAAACAAACCAGTGTCTTGAAACAACGTATAAGTTACCTAAATACATATTAAAATTAATTTTAGTCTGAAAAATATACCTAAGCATATTCTGCTTTTTTCAACCTTAAAAACGTTCCTGTTTTTAAAATTTTGCTTCCTGATAGAGATGGAAATTAGTGAAATTCCATTAAAGATTATCTGAAATCTTTGTCATAGATATAAGTTTAATGATTCTTTAGCACAAAAATGTGGATTTTTATCATCCTCTCAAAGAATAATAAAAGCTTTTATTTCTTTACTGATACATTGTATGCACCACTAATAAATTTTAATATTCTCTAAAATTTTCATAAAGTTAAAGAACTCATGCTTTAATTCCATTAGTGACCTAAAAAGAAGAAATCTATATTCCTACTTATTATTCAAAAATTCAAACTACTTAACTATAGTAGCAGAGCCATTGATACTAAAAAAAACCCCAACAACGTATTTATTTTGAGACTTTGGCAAAGAAATCCTATTTCTTTTATTCATTATGACTTATCTTGGGTAGTTTTAACAAAGCTTTCAAAAATGCAAGCAGAACACCCGCACATGTATATATTGTGCAACTATATTATGGTTTACAAGTAGAACTTAGTGACTACAAAGACCTAATCCTCCCCCAAGACTGCAAATATTAAGAAAGCTATTCTATACAAGTCACTGCCACTCATTTTTGTCACTTCTTTCCCAGACACTTGAGAGAAAGCATAAGTTCTGAAGTGTGGGAGGTGCTCAAAGGAACGTGAGAGCAAAATGAGGGTACATCCCTCGTTCTGCCTGACCCAACCATTCCCCTTACACATACCCATCTAGGAACCTTAAACTGATGATGGTAAAATACAATTTTTAATTGGCTCTTAAGTAAAATATGTATCAGATGCTTACAGCACAACAGACAAAAGGACTGGGGCGGGAAGAGGAGAAGGACGAGTAGTACACATACAAAAAATATCAGGAAGAACTGATACAAAAATTCTGGTAGAGTTAAGTAGAAACCTGCACGCTTAAGTACTTACAGGTTTGAACTATCCCATAGTTTGCACACAAATGAAATGCAAGGTAATGTGGATCACAGAGTACAATATACTACAGTAAAAACACCACTCACAAGTGGATTGTGGCACTCTAGTCTGTACATTAACAGTTGTCACTAACTGAGGTGACAAAAGACCTGAAAACATTTAATCAAACAAGACTAATTGAATATTGTGTATTATGAAAGAAAAGACAGTGTCTAGTGACAAAAATGAAATTATCCCCACTGGTTTATCCTATCTTCAGTCGAGGTGTAGGCTTATGGTTCCAACTGCACCTGAGTGCTTCTAACCCATTTCCTTCCCTCCAGCTAATTGTTCCTAACACTACCCTTGAACAAGAGTAACATGCATTCTACTCAAGGGTAGGAAACTAAGATACTGGCAATAAAAATATTTTGTAGTCAGATCAGAAGCAACTCCAGCTCATACTATAGCTCTATGATCGCTAAATCCAGTATAAAGAGACAGAAGCTTCCAGATGACGTTGATGAATGGGAGAGGCTAAGAAAGAGCAAACAGGGTCATATTTTTGCATCTGCCAGTAGATTGGCTTCAGCACAACATGAAACTGCATGAAAGAGCTTAGTAATAAATAAGAAAGAGATAAAAGGGATACTACATGCAGAAAGCAGCATGGAAAAAAAATCCCATTGTTTGTAGGATCAAGAGGCAAAAGACTGCCTAAAAGATCACTTCTCTTCCCCCACAGGTGAGGCTCTGGCAGAAATATTTTACTGAAATAAAGAAAAAAGAAATGGTTGACAAACAAGGTAGTAATTCTGAAAGCAGGAGACAATTTTTCATAGGAAATGGCATATTATAAAACCTTCTAAGTGTGAATCTAACCTATTTTTACATTGAGAATAAAATTCAGAAAATTTGGAGCAAGTTGTTTATAGATAAATCACTTTTTATGGTTTACAATGAGATGGAGTACATGAGAAATGATATTTCTACTTTTCAAGTTAGCATTCATATCTATGTTGACTACAAAACTTCTTCACGGTTTAAATAAAATATATAAGCACAACAGCTTTACACACCCTCTCTCATATAATAAAAGACAACAAACCTGGCTAAGGATCCTTCCAGACTGGTCTCCCATTTCTTGTACAAGGTCAAAAATTTGGAAATTCCAATTGTTCATCTTCTCCATTAGTGAATCATGATCTAATAACATTGTTTCTAATGCAGGACTCTGCTCCACCTGCGTAAGTGTAAGATACTTTATCATCTCTAAAATAACAATGAAAACTAATCTGTCAGTTGTATTGGCAAAGCAAGCCATGAAAATGATACATCATTATTGAACTTATTGAATGCTGCTCTAACTATGGCTATGAGAAAATCATAAATCAATAGTATAAATAGCACAGTTAAGGCCTTGACTTTTCATATTTTGGGGCAGCAGATTCCAGGGTTTTCTGAGATGGTGCTAAATTTTCATTCTTATCTTTTTAAAAAAAGATGAGTTAATAAAACAAAGTAAAACCATGCATAGGTTAACAAAACATTCACTGAGCTTTAACAATTCATTAATTGAACAAGCTTTTAAAAGAAGTTTATATATAAACCCAAAATGTTAGGCTTAAACCATTTGTCTCCCTGCACTTCCAATATACCGCACTGTATGAACATTCATTTGTAAGTTTCACTGAAACTCCCACATCTTCCATAAACTTCCAAAAGAAAATACTAGTCATTCAGTGTTTGAGTGTACTATCAACATTAAATCTACACAAATTAATTTTTAATCAACAAAAAATTAATACAATCCCCATGTTTCTTTTCATTTGCTAGTGAAATTTATGCAAACTGGAAACACACAATTATTAAATGAAAATCTGAATTCCAATGATGTACTATTTCCCTGCAGAAATTACAAGTCTTAGCAAAGACCCCTTTACAGCATGTTAGAAATTATAAAGAAATACTGTATTGATAAATGTTATTGCAATTTTTTTTGCAATTACATGCTTACCAGCAGATTATTTTGTGTTTGATCAATCATTTTCTTCCATTCATCTTTTTTCTTCTCTGTATAGTGGAAAGATTCTTTTGGAACACTACCAGTTCCAATTTCACCTTAAAGAAAATATATACATAAATACTATATCAATAATTTGTTTGTAAATTACTGCTGTCTAATAATTCTTGAACTGATCATATAGATTCTTCATAGAAATATAAGTAATACCTTGTTTCTAAACAATTTTTATTTAAGAATTTAGCAATTAAAAAGTTATAGAGGACAAAATTTATTAGACAAAATCTATTTGAAGATTGAGAAAAACTAGAAGTATAGCTTTTTACTTGCAAAAAATTGGTTCGGTGATTAGTTTAGCTGAGGTGGCAGAGAACTTGTTTGATATATGGAGTACAGAACTATAAAGCTATAAGTGGAACCCTATTGTACAATCCTTACTTTGAAGAAGGCAATATTTTAGATTATCTTGATTATCCCAAGCCACAAACTAAAATAAAATACATGCACATGAGTTACTTAAAGTATAGGAAAATTTCACATAGAAATATAAAAATTTTAATTTAATTGGCTTTTTTAAAAAAAAAAGTTGATATCAAATATTTGTCTATTTTGAAATCCCACCTGATTTTCTGTCTTTATATTCTGCAAATTCTGGTTCTGGTGTCGGAACAGGCTTGAGTATCTGACGTCCACAGCTTACAGAACACATGAAAAATATTTATAACATTTAATAATTTACTACTTTTGCTGCTGCTGTGTTGTACTGAAAAATATCTGCAAATTACTTTATGAAAAGGCATACTTTTGAAGGTTCCTCCACCAAGTGGCCTTAGTATTTTCTCTTAAATTTGTCACATATAGATTTAGTCTGTACTCAGAAAATAATCAATTATCACCTCCCCTGGACTCACCTCCATGAATTAATAAAGTAGAGCTAACTATTTAGAAAGTATTCAGAAATACAGAATTCAATTCCCAGGTAGGAAGTTCTCCTTTTCTAAAAATCTGTAAAATATTGTTACTCTACAATAACTGCTGCTTTCACGCATGAGCCATTTCAAATCAATGGCATACATACAGCATTCTTTAGTCTCCCCTGGATAATACAGTTACAGATTATTATAAGATCATATGCCTTTTTTTCCAACACTAGTAGATTTATAGGTCTTGTTACATTTTTTCATTTTAATTGTATTCTTTTCAACACATACAAAGTTATTAAAAATGTAACAGAGTTTACAGTACCTGCTACACATATAACCTACAGGTGTTTTAACTTGCTGCTGAAAATCTGGAGAACTAAATGTGTATCCTGGAGGCTTATATATATTAATGCTTGGTTTTGTGAGAAAATCAGCAGTATCAGGAAATTCTACAGGTGACCAGCTGCTGAAAGCCCCACTGGAGACAGATCCATGACTAGGTGAGCCCACAGGACTCAGGCCAGGAGAAGCACCTTCCAAAACAAACATTAAATGGGATTCAGAATATAATAAAAACATTACTGTTTAGAAAGACTGAAATTAAATGGCAATAAATAAAAAAATATCCTTGAGACATTTTTTAAAACAAAGTAAAAAAAATAAATGCTGTAATCATATTTTTGAAGCAAGGGATTAAAGTGGGCAGATACTGGTCTTTTCTGACAGTGACATTCCTTTTTTATTGGCATGATAATCCATCTAAATCTGCCTAATCAGCCATTGCGGGCGGGG